TTTTTGCGCTATCGAAGCGCACGTCCAAGGACTTAGAGTTTTCTGTCCAACAAATAATCCGGAGTACTACAGTTGGTTCAACACCATCCAGAGCAGGCATCGCTGGGCGCCATAGCCAGCGCAGCTGCATTGGACACGTGCAATATATAAATTTTGATTGTGAAATGTCGGCCCGACGGGGCTTACCGTGTTCCATTTAACAAAGGTACATGGTGTTTCAACTGGCTCCACTACACAGCTGCAGCTTACTCCTCATCGCTGATGAATTTTAAATCCCGTGAATAGGGCGTCGTTGGTTCATTGCGAAAATCATTTCGGGTAAGCTTACTTATTCCATATAGCAGCCGTTTGAATATCCAAGCTCTAGTGCACATTCTGCTATTATTTCACATCAATTGTACAAAGCTCTAAAGCGTAGTTTACGGTGTTTTAGGCACCACACTGCTCCCAAGTGATCAAGTCTTCCAACTGCCGTGGGTTGTATTATATGTATACAATAACGAAACTGAAATTAAAGCTGATTTTGGAAATGGTCTTTATCATTACTAATCAATGACTTCAACAAGTGGCTGACACTCTTCGATATGGTCAAGATGCTATGGCATTGATTAGTTCACTTTTGCTTGCCATAGCTCTCTCACCCATAACTATTTTATACCGTGCTGCGAAGACATCACCAAACCTAGTTTTGTAGAATTCGGGTTATCAAATATTGCCAGGACGCAACCTATGCTGCCTGTTCACAAACCGTGAGGTATTCTTATATTTTAGGAAAGTGCTGGGTTGAGGCGTGAACTGTCGAACATTCGCAATGCGCGAGATATTTACATTGCTTTCGATCGTTCGATTGTGCCATTCCTAATCGATTTGCAACTGCCATCGGTCTTCCGTGAGTGTGCCATTTACATTTGAGAGAAGAACGTTCTGAAGCTCTACAGTGTGGATTATTTCGCGCCAACTAGTAACTCCGCCCGTACTTTGAGAAGATAAGATACTCAGCGGTTCCTGTCACATGCGAAGCAAATAGAATGGTACTGCCATAGGGCACCCACTTGTTTATCCCTTGGCTCACCCGGGAGCCTGATGCTCGGTACTTGTGGGGTCTTTCTCATCGCCACGAAGACGAAGGAGGGAGGGGGTGTTTCGGGGTGAATAAAAGTACACCGTGTGTCTCCTGCGAGGTCTCCAGCCAAACTTTGTCGTTATGTACGTCATATTCTTATCCCATTCTCTGTTTTTTTCAAAGGCCTGTTTGAAGGGGTACTCATCGAGTGCGACATAGGGCTCCCCTTTTAATAACAATGAAATTTCTAAAAGCCATCGCTGTCACGACTGTCATGCGCCCGAACACGGTAAATAAGAAATAACGTTTACGCAAGTGGTCATACGCCCCGCCGCGGTGGTCTAGTGGCTAAGGTACTCGGCTGCTGACCCGCAGGTCGCGGGTTCCAATCCCGGCTGGCGTGGCTGCATTTCTGATGGAGGCGGAAATAATGTAGGCCCGTGTGCTCAGATTTGGGTGCACGTTAAAGAACCCCAGGAGGTCGAAATTTTCGGAGCGCTTCACTACGGCGTCTCTCATAATCATATGGTAATTTTGGGACGTTAAACCCCACAAATCAATCAATCAGCCATCAAATTAATATTAGAGTACACGGTCGTGTAACACCGTGACAACCACCGGATGCGTTCAGGAACTTGCTTGGGAGCAGACTGAAAACACAGACCACAATATAGGCGACATAATGAGCGCACTACTCAGAAGTTACAGATCAGTCTAGTAACTAAACCAAGTTGCGAGAATAAATTTTGCAAGGCTGTTATTTGTGAAAACAATGTTGTCATTCTCATCTTCGTGAAGAGTTCATGCAAAATATGGCTCCCTTAAGACGTGAGGTGTCAATATCCACCGAACTTTGAAACGCACCAACAGTAATTAAACTTACACGAGAAATGTATTGCAGTGTGATGTTCAGTGAATGCCGCTCATATTCTGCGTGAAAAATGACATGTTTCTTCCCAGGACGGCGCATACGTTGAGGTATATACACGCAGGAGGAACAATGGAAATCGACAGAGGACGCTCCAAAGATAAGGCTATGGTAAGGAGACATACAACGAGGCAGGCTGCGAAGACGCCCGCTTTCAGTTGACACAATGGCTGAACGGGGAATGGGAACAATACCACCCTCGTTGATGCTCGAGTCCATGTGGCGAAAGCTGACTCTGAGTGTCATTTGCCAGATAACACCGTAGCTTGCCTGCTCCTTTCTCGAGTTCGCATCGGAGCAGGGTTGATAAGAGGGCACGATGGTGATATGCGCCCGTCCCATGACAGATTGTGCTAAGCCGCTAGCTATTGGCACGTCTGCTTTCTTGGGCATTGAGCAACGTGCACGTGGTAAAGGAAGAGCCATTGCGCAGTGAGTAGTGTAACGCACTCATAGGGCAGAGCCTGTAGGTTCGTCTCTCAATGAACGCGAGTCATAATGCGCTACTTTATGACTTTTATACTACCGCAAGAACAATGTAGGAATACCCTCATCACTTCGCGGGCTATGTATCGTTTTTACCAGCGTAAGTAGAGAGGCTTTCGGTTTGCCTTCCCGTTCAACGTGAGAACTACTGCAATATACTTCTTCATACGACGAGGCGAAGTTCATTGTAGCTGTTATCTTGTAACACGTGGACAAATTCACATTCGCAGAGAGCTTTCTTGTCATGGAAACTTATTTCCAATTTCTCTGTCCCATGCTATTTTTTTTTTGCTCAAGAGTACAGTGTAGCAAATCTTGCAGGATATATATGATATTCAGGAGTTTCACGAAAAAAAAAAAACACGATAGAAGCGAAAGTTTGTTCAATAGTTTTAATGAGCAACACCTTCTGATTCATTCATTCTCAACTTCCGCGTATTGCTCCTGTAGCGTAACAAAATGACCATGAGATGAGGGTAATGGTGACGCAATGAGCGTATACAGTAGGTGGGAAACCGTGTGGATGGATTCGTAAATGTGCTCGCATAGTAAATGTCACAGTAGATTATCCGGCAAGGTGCAGAAAAGAAAAGCCGATATTTTTTTTTTTCACGAGCAACATTATTTCACTGGCTCATATATTTATTTCGGAAGAGCAAGGTAAAATTTCAATGATGCATGAGTGAAGATATATACTTTCGATAAGCCAACATGAAGAAATATGTCGCTCACGCCATATTCATGCGGCGTGATGTGAAATGGGCTTTATATTGCTATAAAAGACACGATCGGAAATTACTGAACGAATGCAATGAATGGGAGATGCTATAAGTAACAGTCAACTTTGCTTTCAACATTAGTGCCCACAAGATTCAGCAATAACACTTGATGAAGCATTTGTACTGTTTTATTTATGACTGAGAGTGATTTACGATAAAATCTTACTCAAGAATGAGTAAAACTTCTAAGAATGTAGCCGTTGTTAAATATACGTGAAACACAAAGTTAAAGGGACACTAAAGGCAACTATTAAGTCGACGTCCATTGTTGAAATGGGGTTCCAGAAACCTCGTAGTGTTACTTTTGTGCCAAGGAAGGGCCTATTTTGAAATAAAGTCACGTTTTAGTGGTCCGCTTCGGGTAGCGCACTTCAAATTACCCGCCTCTAGAAGCAGACCGACCCGACCGGTTCACGTTCACTGTTGCCGTGCACAGCGTTGCCCGGCTTTACTGCGCTAGTAGCAGCAGACCGAAAGCAGCGGGAGCCACAGCAGCAAGGACGGTCGTTGATCAATTTGCCGCCATTGGCTTCGAGATTGCAGACGTTTTTGTTTCAACTTTGCCCCGCTAGATAGCACTATCTGTCCCGTGTAACCACGCGAAAATTGAAGTTTAGACCACTCGCGTCATTCCCCATAGTAACGTCCCGGCGGTTCCTTTTTCCATGAATCAAACAGAAACGAACAAGCACTACTTTATTGCGTTTCTTGATGCACGGAAGCTTCTTTATTTAGTGCGGTTAGATTCATTACTAGTGATCAATCGTAGGCTGTCCGTCTGATGTCACCGGGATCATTTTAAAATGTCCTACTGCGGCGCTTTTATTCTTGTGCATTTAACTTAATTTCTCGGTAAGTAGGGCACTGTTGTTGGTAGCATTGTCGTTTTAGATGTCATAATACATTGAGCTTTCACTCTAACGTTAATTGTTATTTGACTTTAGTGTCCCTTTAACAGACGCGACACGACACCACTGCACAGAATAATTCGCTTGACATATCTATATAATTCGCGAATGAATTATTGCATACATGTTCAGCTGCACCATGATTGGCGCGTTGTATCACATTTAAATAAGTTGTTCGCCTACACTTCGTTTCACACAGATCTATTTCAAACACACCACGGTCCCGACCTGCAGAGTCGTGACACGTTTATAGGCTGTTTCACAACTGCGTCCAGCACCTGTCGCCCAACCATCTGCGAACTGGCAACCAAAAAGCGACCCATGGTGACCGATTTTCACAACTCCTCGCTACTTATAACCATCGCCACAGGGAATTCCCATCTGCCCGTATTGCTATTGCCTCAAAGGAACTTGACGTCCTGTTCTTGGGCAACTGGTTGGTTCAGAGGTTTGCGATTGCAGTCGCGTGAACAGAAAAATCGAGCAGTGAATGGCTGAGCCAAATAGTCGCATAACTACCAAAGAGATGATCTGTGGCCAGTGATTTTGCGACTAACTTGTCGCGTGACCGGTGCTAGTCGCAAGTGTGAACGAGCCATTGATATAGACCTATTCCATATTTGTAAACGGCGGTAAGCGCCGTCGACACACTGAGGCTGCTTGTAGAGAGGCTCTCCAACGCTTTGTGCTCGAAGGCAGGTTTGCAACTGCTGTGCCTGTTGTCACGTCTTCATAGAGAGTGGTGGTGAGCTTTGGGCTGGGCGGAACCTACCCGCCGCAACGCCGCTACAAGCGCCTCAGCTTTGTCGACAGTGCCTACCGCTGTTTACAAACATATATACGTACAGCGACACTCTCAACAATTACAACAACAAGAACAGGAGTTTTCAGCTCAGTCATGCGGTAAAACAAGGACTAGCGTCAACATGACACCGAAGCCGAGCAGCACTGCCAGCAGCTGCAGCACTCCGCTCAGCTGGCTGTTCTTGTCCCTCTGAAGGACTTCGAAGAAGGTCACGTACAAGAGAGTGCCCGTCGCGACACCATTGAGTCCAGCGACCACAGGAGAGTCCTTCGAGCTTGTTCTTGGTCACGGCTCCGATGAGCGCGCCGAGCGGCGACATCACCGAGAAGATGACCATGTAGATGAGGATGGTGCGCGTCCTCATGCGGCTCGCCTTCATGTCGAAACCGACGACGAACGCGATGACGAACTTGTGGATGGAGATGGCGAGGAACATGATCCAGGTGGCCTGGTCTGTCGACTGCAGGCCCAGGGAGAGGCCCTCGAAGATGGAGTGAAACGAGAGCGCCACCACAATGAGCACGCTACCGAGAGAGACGCGCTGCGTGCCATGGTCCTGTTCGGCCACCGCGTCCGCCGAGAATTCGTGCTTGTTTCCACACCATTCGCTTGCGCCGGGTGAGCTTGCTCCGCGTCGTGACTGCCAGTTGGGAGACAAAGAGAAAATTGCGGCAACAATTGTCAATAGCTTACGCAGATAGCATCAAGAACTATACTGAACATATGGTTGAGTGCGAGCACCATCTTTTTTCGGTTTATTTATAAACTCGTGCTAACAGAATAAACACAAAGTTCATGCGCACCTGCAGTTCATAACAACGGCCGTGTGTGAGTGACCATGGTCGGAGGCGTGGTGACTGTGGCCCAGACAGGCGTGGACGATCTCTTCCAGTGCTAACAGATCGTCCTATATTCTTACCTAAACCATAGCGCGTTGGTGAAAATTTGACACAAACATTTTGATCAGCATGGTCCTAACTGATGTTGAAAAAATTCTAAAAAAGTAAGGACCCTGAATAGTGTGGTTGTATGATGATATGTGGGAGTTTAACGTCCCGAAACCACCACATGATTATGAGAGATGTCGTAGTGAAGGGCTCCGGGGGTTCGAACCACCAGGGATTCTTTAACGTGCACGCAAATCTGAGCACACAGGCTTGCTGCCTTTTCGCCACAATCGAAAATGCAGCCGCCGCAGCCGGGATTCGATCACGCGACCTGCGGGTCAGCAGCCGAGTACCTTAGCCATTAGACCACCACGACGGGGCTGAAAATGCTCTGAGGCAGGGGCGTACGCCACCTATTATGTTTACCTTTCGTGTATCTGTTTGGGTGGTGCGTGTATATGCACATGCAAAGCCGTTTCTTATTTCAAGTTTACTTATGCTTGCCTATGCCATCGTCATTCTTTATTCTCTTCCCCCTCTCATTTCCTCTTCCTCTCCTCCTCTATTCTGTCTCTTCTTTCCTCCCGAAAGAGTAAGCAAATGTTAAGCCCCTCCAGCTGGTAGTTGCCAGCTTGCTCTTTCCCTTATTCCTCTGTGTCCTTGTGTACCGTGTTGCAAATAAATAAATAAATAAATAAATAAATAAATAAATAAATAAATAAATAAATAAATAAACACAAGGTTCATGCGCTACCTGCAGTTCATAACAACGGCCGTGTGTGAGTGACCATGGTCGGAGGCGTGGTGACTGTGGCCCAGACAGGCGTGGACGATCTCTTCCAGCGCGTATACGGCGAGGAAGCCCACGCAGACGACACCTTCGGTGACGGGAAATTCCGTCGTCAACTTCTCGAATCCTTCGCGCACTTCGGGCAGAAGGTGCAGGAAACTCGTGGCGAACAGCACGCCACCTCCGATGCAGACGAGGAACGCGAACGCCTTGCTGCCCCACCGGGCCGTGCTGAGCCTCTTGACGAGCCAGATGGGAAGCAGCCCCGACACCAGCGTTCCGACCAACAGCAACAGCGGGGCCACGACTTGAGACCACTGGAATGCCATCTTTTCACCGCTTTTCTTAGTTCTTGTAGAGTGTGTACTTGTAGGAAGCGTGGTCTCAGGTCTTCGAATGGCCGGCTACAAGGACGGCTCCGGGATTCTGGGTCAGAAAGAGGCACACTGCGTCCTTCAGATAGCCCTGTCTTTTTGTGAATCTGCAGATACGGGAGAGATGCACAACTGCGTTAGGCGAGTGGTTCGCAACACTGGCTGGGGGCACATAGAGCTCCTAATATCTGCCAGAACTGACCTTGGGTTTTCTGTTCCGTTACGAGTCGGGAAAGCTTTGCAGGTACACAGGATCAGGGAAGACGAGGTAGATCGGGGAGGCGTTCCCGGAACAACGCAATAATGCGAGGATATACGCAGTTTGCTTGAATCAGCACACACTTAACTCGAACGCGCCAAGGGCCCTCTCTGAAGAGCAAACCAATCACACGGGAGTATAACGCCACTAATTAGGATTTACTATAAGAAGGAAGGAAGGCATATGTTAGTTGGCTCAGCGCTTTTTGTGGTGAAATATAATGTAACATTTTCAATTTCAATTTATTCAACAATGATCAAAGTATTTTCCCCCAAAATATGACGCACGTTTATGACCAGCATTAGGTTACGGCCGTAGTTGCAACCCTCCAATACCCACGGTGCACTCAGTTACATGTGATATGTCTAACAAATATTTACTGACAAACAACCTATATAGCGCGTACAGCACTTTACACAAAGCTACGAAACGATTGAGATCCTCAGAAATTTTCTGAAACCTGAGAGGCTACTATACTTTATGGCCACATTTCAGGTCAGTTAAGTCATTCACGATGGTACGAAGTTCAGAATACAAGACAGCAGAAAAGACAAGGTAAACGCTGCGTTTACGTCATCTGGTTACGTTATCACGATAACATATTTCACGTACACGCGATACTCAACACAATGAAAGGCGTAAAATGGTAAGACATCAGTAGCATGTCGTTTTTTGTTTCAGTATATGTTCCCAGTCACCAATGCAAGAGCCGTTAGGGAGTATAGTGCGGACGCAGTCATACACAAAGCTACCGACGCTCGCCGTCGTATCAGCAGCTGCACGTTCCATGAACCCGGAAAAGATGAAGCTTTTCAATGTAAGTACCAAAAATCATGGTACGACTGTATAAATAGGACAATTATTTGACAACGTATTGAAATAGCTGATGGTGCCGTAGCATTTTTTTTCTTTTATACTTGACAGTGGCAGGCAGTTTCGAATTCAGAGGCGTGTCGCAGTGCATAACAAGTGCTTTGCCTTTCTGAAAAAAAATGCAATTAAACACACAGATGCCATGTTTATGGTGCGGGTGTCAGAATTTACTGGGGCAATTTAAACAATGTGACGTCAGTTAAAATCAGCAGGCTTTTATTAAAACGATTGACGGAAGGAAAGATGGGAAGCTTGGCCTCAGACATTCTTCAGACAGTTTTGACATTTTTTCATACAGTATTTACAAATGCTTCATATTTCTATTCCTGCTGTAAATATATCTCAATTCCTGTAAACATCATATATGATGACTCCTCTCAAACATCGAAACGGTGCATTGAAACAGTACCTTGACGCAGCATCAAGCGAGAAACGGAGAGGTCGGAGTCTCCAACACTGGATGTGATTTTTGTGAAATGAGCTCAGAGAAGACAGGCAAGGCAAAACTCAGAACGGGATTGTGGCGCTCCCTTCGCAGCGAGGTTATCTCGACGTTACAGATTAGAGCATTGTGTTGCGTTCAGCCGTTGTCCTCACTGCAACTATTCGCGTCTGCGAAAAGGGTTTGTGAGCTCCAAGCAAACAGGATGCACGCGAGACCATGTTTTTGTGAAAATATACGCGTAAGAGAATATCGCAGCTGATAAGTTTCTCGATTGTAGCCGGCATCATACGATAGTATCAATGGGCACTCCAATGAAAAAAAAAATAATACAGAGCTCGAATGAATACCATCTCGACTGCTTATATCACTACTAGTAAAATCCCTGACGATGGCTGTTATAATACGACGCTTTGCAATGTAGAGGATTGCTTATTTTAAAATTTGTTTAAATGTAAAGTATAAAAATCTGAGCTGTACCAGTTCATTGCACTTCTGCATTAACAAGAACGTCGTTTACTTTTAGGAGAAGGCCTAATAAAACAGGAGTTGTCCCACCGCGGCGGTCTAGTGGCTGAGGAACTCGGCTGCTGACCCGCAGGTCGCGGGATCAAATCCCGGCTGCAGCGGCTGCATTTTCAACGGAGTCCAAAATGCTGTAAACCCGTGTGCTCAGATTTGGGTGCACGTTAAAGAACCCCAGGTGGTCGAAATTTCCGAAGTCCTCCATTACGGAGTTGCTCATAATCATATCGCGGTTTTGGTACGTTAAACCCCACATATCAATCAATCAATCAATCAATCAATCAATCAATCAATCAATCAATCAATCAATCAATCAATCAATCAATCAATCAATCAATCAATCAATCAATCAATCAATCAAACAGGAGCGAGACCAGTTCTCGAATAGCGATCCGAAGGTCACGGGATGGAATCCTGGCCATGGCGGCCGCATTTTTGACGGATTGATTGATTGATTTGTGGGGTTTAACGTCCCAAAACCACTATTTGATTATGAGAGACGCCGTAGTGGAGGGCTCTGGAAAATTTGACCACCTGGGTTTCTTTAACGTGCACCCAAATCTGAGTACACGGGCCTACAACATTTCCGCCTCCATCGGAAATGCAGCCGCCACAGCCGGGATTTGATCCCGCGACCTGCGGGTCAGCAGTCGAGTACCTTAGCCACTAGACCACCGTGGCGGGGCATTTTTGACAGAGCCGAAAATGTTTGAGGCCCATGTACTTAAGTTGGGCGCACGTTGAAGAACCTTAGGTGGTTCGGATTTCCGGAGCCCTCGACCATACGGACCCCTCATAGCTGAAGGCGACCAAGGGACTGCTGAGGTTTTTGAGAAAAGCGAACCTGCACAAGCGGCTGTGACAGTGATGTAGCGGTTTCGCGCCGGGTTGATGGACCCTTACTGATTGGGTGCTTGTGCAGGGCTGTGAGATGTGCTATTTTTCTGTCTCTCTCCTCTCTTTCTTTCAATCTTCCCCATCTAGTTCCCACGTGAAGGGTAGCAAACCGGTTACCCTCGACTGGTTGACCTTCCTATCTTTCCTTATTTGACATTTATTCAATCACGTTAAACCTTAACAATCATTAGACAAGAACGAATAACAAAACGAGCTGCCGTATTAAAGTTCCGGCATAATCTCCCCGGAGACACGCATCTTTTGCCATGGTTAATGTAACTTTACTATTTAATGTTGGACTGCGTTGGGTTCTAGGAAAACAAACAAGCTAAATTAGCAATATTGAAAAATATATACCCATCCTAGATTGGCCGACATACGATGGGGTATCTTGAAGTTTGTACAACTCTATACCGACGTGTCAGCGCCATGTTTCTGGCAGGAAATACCACAGTCTTCGTCCTGAATTGGTAGTTTAAGCTCTAACCGCGAAATGAAAAACAAAAAATAAAAAAAAAAAGAGATAACTTTCTACCAATATATAGATGACTTTAAACCCCGTAAAATTAGTTTGCATGAGTATAAAAAAAAAGGTTACCTTTGTTATATATTTGTTAGTCCGACCGATAAAGTGAATATTCTAAGGTAGTATGGGACCCCTACACCACTGCTTACGGATATGAACTGGACAAAGTTCAAAGGATGGCTTCCAAGTTGATATTAAATAAATATGAATGCGTGCACTTTGCTTCCGAACTTTGCAACCGTGCCAACTTTCCCGCCTTAGAACTGATTGATTGATCGATATGTGGGGTATAACGTCCCAAAACCACCATATGATCATGAGAGACGCCGTAGCGGAGGGCTCCGGGAATTTCGACCACCTGGGGTTCTTTAATGTGCACCCAATCTGAGCACACGGGCCTACAGCATTTCCGCCTCCATCGGAAATGCAGCCGCCGCAGCCGGGATTCGAGCCCGCGACCTGCGGGTCAGCAGGCGAGTACCTTAGCCACTAGACCACCGCGATGGGGCCCGCCTTAGAACTTCGAACTAAATATGACCGTTTCAAAATTCGATCCCTCATTATTCGTAATCAGACTAAAATATTTCAATAAATTTTCTTGTAATTTCTTCAGATTCGCGCTCTCAGCACAGGCAGTTTGTACATACTCTACCAGTCACCCGAAACGCACATTTAAATACAGCTTCTTTCCGAGGGCAACTAAATAAATAGAACGAACTACCAAGCACAGTCATGATGTTTTCATCACAGCCTTTTCTACAGCATTCGAATCACTTATTTTCTCTGAAACAAATGGGCCATAGCACTTACTATTAATATTTTAATTCTTGTCTGCACGATCTCAATGTATTTTGCCTCTTTTTTTGTTACTTCTCTATTTTCAATGCTTAGAATGTACGTGTAAATGCGTGTTTTCGCTGTATGTCTCTGTTTTGTAACGTATTTCATGCACATTTCTATTTTATCTTTTTTTACTCAAAGTTCAGCATAACATTGTGTGCTATCTTGTGTGTTTTCCTCTCCTATAAAACTCCCACTTAAGATTGGCAGTATTAACAAACAAACAAAAAACAAACAAACAAACAAACAAAAATCTAAAACATTTTTTTGTAAAGCTATATTCAAACTAAGCTCAAGCGGTTACTTTCAAGATTGCCATTTTAAAGTTTTTTCACTTCTTTACTTTTTCATTTACTCGCTCAGTTATTTAAATATTTAATTATTTATACGTATATTGGATTATTAATACTGCAAGCCACATGGCCAAAGCAGGAGGGGCAGTATAAAACCCTAACAGCAACAGTAAGAAATAAATAGCAGTAATCGAAAAATATCCAAAGTAACAAATTATTACAAAGATGATTCGAATATGCTCTATAGTACTCAGACATCTGCTTTTCTTACTAAATCGAACAAACACATCTTGATTAAATGATGTTAAACCAGAAAGCTGTTCGAAGCGCAAGTTCGCTTACGTCTGCGTTCATAGGAGATTTGGAAACACAGCGTGTTTCTCTCACACGTGTTTGTTTCAACACAAAAATTGTATTCCTCTTGTTACGATTCCATATTCTTTGCATTTTATGGACTCATGCGCTTGCTTTCTCTTGTCGCGGCAACACACCGTCAATAGACTCGACGACGACTCTTACAAAAGTGTGTTCGTAAACGAAGTGAAGCTTTTTCTCATTTTACTTAGCGCTATCTCACGCCCGTGCATTTTCAGACTGCCGCCTTGAGAAGTGATGTCGCAACGCGTGGGCGTGTCGCGACATGCAGTGCGTTGCGTCATTAAATGTCAAAACGAGCAATGGCATAGGAGACGGGAAAGCTTTTGCAAGTT